AAATAAATCAAATTCAGTCAACCAACCTCTTATGTGTATCAACATGAGAATGTTGTTGGTTCGATGTTGGTGTGGTTGCATTTGAAGATATTATTTGACTGTTACGTTCGCTCAAATTAGCACTATTATTTCTGGACGTCGATACTGGCAGCGTTGGCAGTCCAAGTAATAGCTGGTCGCCACCCGACGATGAATTCAGCTGTGATTCCAAAGCCGATAGCTCGCTCAACAGAGTGTCGAGCTCCCAGTCGCAGCTTTCTGAACACAACAAAACATTTTCTGAGAGAATCTTGAAGGTGATAGCATCTGGTAAATTGGCTTTTCCTTTATTGTTGCATGCGCAGTCACAAATTGCCTTTGGTTAGATATCACTGCTGTTTTAGTTAGATATCACTGCTGTGATCGATGAACACAATAATGGTTTGATTTTGAATGAACGACTTCTCAGTCGAACAAAATTTGAAAAATCCAAATGATTTTTTGCACAAATCTGTCAATGAATTATTCTGTGTTGTTTGCAGAGAATTTATCTTTCTCGGCTGATGAAGTTTCATTGAGAGCAAAATGTCACGGATAGCTCAATAATGAGACATTGACCGCGTTTGTCGTTTTTTTTTCACAATGGTCATCGATTTTGACATCCGTTTGCGTCGCAATTGTGAGAGAGATAGCAAAATACAATAGCAAGACGAAAACAGATGAGAGATTTGGCATGCACTAAGCGGTTGCGCAATGCTGAGATCGATATAACCACAAATGAGCAATCAACGTTTTTGACTCAAGAAAGAGCAGGTGTACGATCAGGAATATTCTATGAAGCCTAATCACATTGCATTATCCATAATAACAGTGTGTCATTCGTAAGTGAACTCAACAAAAGAACTCCATTTGTGGTTCCTTTCAAAAAGGCGATATAATTTTTAATCGCACTCGTAAAAGCCTGCTATAGGTGCGGTGGTAAGCGAAATAAAGAGGTTGCGAGTAATGCGATGAGGTGATCGATTTCAGAAATATAAGTCAAATGGGTAATTTCACAGAAAAAATTGTCATCCTAAGAAGAGTCATTGATATAGCCTATAATTTCACTGGCACACTGA